GTACCCCCACATCCCCTTCTCGCTAGCCGGAGCGCCCCGCCAGCCGTATCCAGCTCGGGTCTCGGGATGGGGGGGAAAGGACCCCGCGCCGACGCGCCCCATCCCCCGGGCGGATTCCTGGAGTTTCTGGGCCCCGCGCGCCCTCCGGGCCCGAGCCGTTCTTTTGTGTCCCGGTGCTCCTCCAAGAGGCCCGGGCGAAGGAGGGAGTGGAGACCAGGGTAGGGGGACACCCCCTCCCCACCTCGGGCCTGGCAGTGGGTTGGAGGGAAAGCCTGGGGGTGGACAAGCCCGGGAACCTCTCTTCCTGCAGCTACAGGTTGCTTCAAGAACCTGCAGCCAGAAACCCGCCTTTTTTGTGAGCGACTGCTGACTTTTGTTGAAGCAAGTTCAGGGGTGTGTGTGTCTGTGTGTGTCTGTGTGTGTGTCTGTGTGTGTGTGTCTGTGTGTCTGTGTCTGTGTGTGTCTGTGTGTGATTCCCCTTACGTTTTCACTCATGGATGGCATTCTACCAGTGAAGCCACAGCCCTCACTTCTGGCTTCTGGGTAGTTGACTGGATATAAAAATCTCATGAACTCTTCAAGAGCTGGCTTTGAACTAACATCCTCAGATCTGAGCCTCCTGTGTAGCTTGGATTACAGGCTTGAGCCACCTCCGATTTCCGTCCCACAGACCCGCTAGACTCGGGCAACTTAGGCAATGACTTAGATTGATCCCTAAGAAACTGTTTTAGGAGGGAATATTTGCATATAAGCAACTTCATGAATTTGAACTTTGGCGATAGTGCTGATTTCTCCCCCTCCCCTCTTTGTGAGTTTACTCTTTGAGTTTCCTAGGAGCTGTCCCTTCTGGGGGGTGGAGGGGGGTGTGGGGAGAAGCCCAGGGGGCCAGTAGCAGCAGCACACCCACCAGGGTGGACCACCAACTGTGTGCCACCTGCTTTCCCTGTTAGCTCTCAAACCTGCCCGCCCTATGGGACATCTTCACTTTATAGACCAACACAGCAGACTTTGGAGAATGTAAGCAACCATCATCTTCACAGAGTGAATCAGAGAGACCAGAGATTCTGCCCTATTTTCAATGATTGGGCTGTTGTCTACCAAGCAGCGTGCCCTTTAGTTCTGTTTTTCCTTATGTGTCTTGTAAAATTTTTATGGACTTCCTTATGATTTCTATATAAGACTGTTTCTGTTTGTCCCAGTCCTTGAAGTAAGCAAGCTCATCAAAAGGCAAGTTGAAAAGCAACAACACAAACCTTTCAAACAAATAGGATGTTGTTTTGCTTAACATATGAAGGAAATAGGTTTATCCCTGGGCCAGGATCAGGATGCTCTTTGTTATAAATGTAATGCATGCTAAGTCGGTTTTTAAGTTATTTTTTATTGTTGCTATAAAGGAGATGTACGGGGGCTACTGTTACATTTGTGGCTAACTCTGTTAGAAGAGGGGCTTCATGGAAAGATGGACGCCAAGGCTTAGGGACATAGCAGGAAAGCTGTGGTTGACTAGCCAGACTGAGGTTCCCAGGACATGTGTCCAATGGGCTCCTTCAGTGGTGTATAACTATGGCTGCTAGGGGACATTGGATGTGACTACTGCCACCCTCATGGCTAAATCAATTGGAAACTGCAGGCCGTGGTGTGTGCCCCAGCCCCAGGCCCAGTAGAAAGCATCTGGTGGACCCAGCCTGGCATACAACACCCTCTCGACTTATTTGGCATCCCAGCTGGCCTCACAAGGAGGGGCAGGGCTGCCTCCCACAGGACTCAGAACGTAGTCCCCACACTCCCAAAGAAGCACCCCAAATGATAAAGCATCTGCCATAGAGATGTTTTTGAAAAAAAAAAGAGTTTGAGAAAATCCCATTTAAAAAGAGGGGAAAAAGAATAAGAAAGAAGTCAACCTCTGCTTTTAAGCCAGTGTTTGCTGACATGGGGTCCTCCAAACTCCAAATTCAGAATTGTGTGAGGTGTTTGCTTAATGGTGACCTTCTTGGGGCCCCTGTATTTGTTTGAATTCAGTTGGGTTTGAAATAGTAACCACTGAGCTGCGCCTACCAGCCAGGAACATGGTGAGATGACTTTGTTGACCAGGTCTTGTTTAAGAGGAAGGCCTTTTCCCCAGAATGGTAAACCAGTTGTCCTGCCCAGCGTGCCAGTGAGGAGAGCCAGATCACCTACTGCTTTGGTTGAGGAAACAGTACAAGTAGTCCCAGGGCAAGACAGAAACCATCTAATGCATAAATGCTTGGCACAACTTTGACAGAGATAAAGATGATCATTCTGTACTAGTATCTCTCTATCTTCCTCCTTCGTTTTATCTCAGCAGTTATATTAGTTGTCTAAGGTCTGAGGCCATAGGGATACTAAGTCAGGGTTCCCCCACAGTAGCTGCAATAGGAAAGGTTCAAACAGTACGAGAAGACTGGGGGGAACTTTGGCCTTGCACCTGTTGTCTTCCATGTTAGCCTGGGAAGCTTGGAGTGTCTGGGAAAGTGACAAGTCATCCACGTGGATATTCCAGACACAGTGATGGTTCTCACATGTCTGCTGCTTTTAGAAGCAGTCACTTCTAAAATACATTTTAAAAGTCCAGATGAGATGAATAGAACTGAATTTATAACATTTGCTGGGAAATGAATGGAACTGGAGATCAGCCTGTTAAGTGAAATAAGACTGCTGCAAATCAATGATCACTTGTTTCCTCTCAAAACAACAATAACAAAAATCAACCAAGCTCATGGAAATACAAGGGAGAGTACTAAGGAGCTGGCAAAGAAAAGGGCAAAGGGAGGGGACAGAGGATGGGTAAGAAAGAGTACAGAGGGAGAGCAGCATCCCGAAATACAGTATGGAGGTATGCAAATATACCTCACGAGTTATAATTTCATATATGCCAATAAAAAAATAGAGTACTGAGCCTCATTCCCCCAAATAAGTTCAGTCATCTGCCTTGTAAGAAAACACCATTGGATGCAGATAGAAATTTTGGTCCCCAGAGTTGTCCTGGATATCATGGTGGTGGCTCCTTGGGCTACCAGCAGTGGCTCCTGGGAATTAGAGAGGACCCCAAGGACTTCTCTTTTGGGGTAACTATTCAAATGTGGAGGGAAAGTTCCTTCTTTCAACACTTACCTAGGACTTGATAATTCTCAAGATGTTATTATTCGCTCACAATTTACCTGAAATGTAAAAGAAGCCTATACTTTGGAGCAGGATGGAAAGAAATCTGGAGACACAACTTCTTTTGGCCGTGTAGGCAGTAGATGTTCGGTCCATGCTATGGTGAGCAGGGGTGTTTCATGTCCTTGGGGGTTGATTTCCCTTCTGTATTCTCCCTGAGGGAATCAGGAGGGTGTGTGTTCATAGCTCTCCTCGGGCTGTTTACGGCTGGCCTGACTTGGCTGCATTACCAGGAAGTGAGTCTTGGTCAACAGTTTTTAATCCTTTCAACCGCTGTAGTCCAGCTTAACTCACAGCCTGTGCTTCAGCAACAGCTAAGGTATATGTGTGGTGTGTGTACAGTGAGACCTTCCAAAGGGGAGCCCTTGGGTCCTATCAACAGGGGCCTAGCGTACATTGGGGGTGTGGTAGAAGCTGAAACTGAACCTAGGGATCTAGGAGTGGGGCTGAGCAGTTACTAGTTTGTAAAAGGCAACTTACGAGTTCACCCTGTAGCATTAGGTATGAATTAACATCTTCATTGAAATAGTTCACAAAATAATCTCTCTTCTTGACTGGAGCCTCTTTGGTTTGGAATATAGCTACTAAGTTCTTTGGCTTACTGTAAGATGTGCCATTTTCTCTGTGTGTGTGTGTGTGTGTGTGTATGTGTGTGTGTGTGTGTGTGTGTAGGGTGTACTGGGGGCTTGAACTCAAGGCCTGGGCACTGTCCCCTGAGTTTTTTTTTCCCAAGGCTAGCCCTCTACCCCTTGAGTTACAGTTCCACTTTTGGCTGTTTTGGTAGCTAATTGAGGTAAGAGTCTCATGAACTTCCTTGCTCAGGCTGTCTTCAAACCACAATCCTCAAATGTCAGCCTCTTGAGTGGCTAGGATTACAGGTGTGAGCCACCAGTGCTCAGCTACAGTGTGTGTTTTAAGGGCACATTCTATTTCCCTTGAAATTACCTAGCATACAAAATGACAAGTGTCCCTGAACACTGAACAGAGAGAGGAAGAGCCGGGAATCCCAGATGTGATTTTTGGGTTGTATGACCATCAGTCTAGTCTCAGGAAATAGTTCAGGACTTCAGATGGCTTGATTTCTTTATTCCTTATATTTCGTGATTACGTACCTGCTGATTGCAGACACTGTGAGTCTTGCCTTATGTTAGGCTTTTGTAGGTCTATTAGAAATGAGATCAGTGAACAGATAAATATAAGACAGAGTGAAGAATGAAAGCATAGATTTGGAGACAAAAGATAAGCATCTAGTCGGTGGCAGAGCAGTGGGGTTGGGGGGCATCGGCACCTCTGAGGCTGAGCTGTGGTGAGTAATCACTTAGTATCTCCTGTCCAGAGCTTGGTCTCCAAAGGTGAGCTGTTGCTTGGATTTCTGGCCCCAGTGTTCATCATCTGTAACCTTGGGCAGGTTACCAAAATTCTTTCCATATCAAGTTTCTCCTCAGTGAAGTGGGATCCTGCCTTCAAATCATACAGGACAGTGCCTGGAATATTCTTTACTGCACGTGGAGCCTTAGGTTCCTAGACCACATAGCCATAGAGCTCTCTGAACTGTACCAGATGGTTGCTGATCCTGGACAAGGTCTACCCTCAGAGTCTGGCCCCCACCTCCCATTCCAGGAAAGAGCTTCTCTGGGTCCTGGCTTCCTGTCTAGCTCCTCCCCTGAAGCTCTGGGACAGGCTCTTGTTTGATTTCACTTAGGGGATTAGACCCAACCGCTGGCTCTACCGCTTTAGAGCCTCCTCCCAGGGGGCGGATCCTGGGGCAAGCAGGTCATCTTTTTAGTGACTCTCTGCTCCTTCTCTTCTTGCCAGGGATGGTGCTTTGAGTGAATGAACCCCTTGGAAAAGGCTCTTCTGTGCTGCCAGCCGGCACCCCCAGGGAGCAGGGAAGCCCCCTGGGGCTCCTCTACCCAGGAAGACTGTTCTTCCCCAGGACTTCCAGAAACTACCTCATGCTTGGAGGATCGTGGTAGCCATGGCCCTTCTACTCGATGTCCTCCTGCTGCTGGGGCTCTGGGCAAATACCATTTCCGGAGGGCAGCCCGCATCCACGAACAGGCCTGGAGATTTCAATTATGAGTTGCCTGCCACAAAGTATGAGACTCGAGACGACTATGAAGCTGGGCCCGCGGGTCTCCTTTTCCACATGGTGCATCTCTTTCTTTATGTGGTGCAGCCCCGCGATTTCCCAATAGGTAAGTGCCCACCTTGGGGAAAGATGGGACGTCTCCCCATACCCACAGCTTTGTTTCCTGAGAATGGTCCATACGGAATAGATTCAGCTTTTTGCAGTATAAGGTTCAAATGATCGCTTGCACAGGAGCAAAAAAAAAAGCAAAACAAAATACTGAGCTAGAACTTTCGGCTTGCCTGAAGTTAATGCGAAGGTAATTAGGGTGGCAGGAAATTGACTAGGAGAGAAGGAATCAAACTAGGTGACTAATGTTGGTTTTCCCATTCTTTACCGTCTGTGTTGTTTTGATTTGAAGAGTGAATTATTCTAAAGCACATACCAAAGGGGAACGTTGGGGGTTAAAAAAAAAAGGTTGGTAGAATGAGGAGTTAATAATTATCTGGCGATTACCTGGCATCATGTTGTCACTTAAAAATTCAGCTCTCTTCTGCTGCCTGCCCACAAACTGTCATTTTCAGATTGCTTAGGGCAAAGACTGCACTCTTCATTTCTGTTTACCTGATTTATATAGTTGCTGGAATTCTTTTGAGTTTGGGTGTAGGGAGGGGGTAGCCGCATCTCGAACAGTATGGTGCAGTGTTATTGTTCTTTGTACACAGTGTGGTTTTCCACTTTGGCCTTCTTGTTCATCTTTATCTTGCTCATCTAAGCGCTGAAGTCCTCTGGGTTTTGTGATCAAAGGAATGGGGGCGAGAACATGAACATCCTCTGTGCAAACTATCTGCCACTGGAATTTATCAGCTACTTTTTTTTAACATTAGTTTTTACAGGAACTCCATACAGTTTTTTTTAAAAAATGGCTTTATATTAGATTTCTGCTAAGCTGGTGTATAAACAACAAAGGTTTGAATACTATCATTCATTATAAAATGTGTAGTTAATTTGTAGTAGCCTTATTATTTTCCTCAGCTGGTCAGCTACTGTTCATAAGAGGCTTATTTGTGTTTGTATGTGTGTGTGTGTGGGGGGGGAGTGTAAGTGCTCGTGTGTGTGAAAGACACAGACAGAGAGAAAATCTAGTTAGTGAACCTCACCACTTATTTATAGTATAAGAAGTTTATAGCATTTCATCAAGCTACACTTTTATTGACTTTTATTTTTACATCCATTTGCCATAGATTAGCCTGTGACTGTTAGTTTTGTTTCTAAATTTCAATATAAAGAATATGTTATTCGAGTCTATTGTCACTGAAGAGGCTGCTGGACCTGTGCTGCCCATTGTTAAAGGCTATGTTTGGGAGTCCCAAGGACAAAGGTAGCAAGTCAGCTGAGTTGAATAGGTATCTCTTAGTTTATTTGTAGACTTATTATGAATATCACTGAATAAACAAATAACTCCCAGTGGTTTTTGTTTTAGTCTTTGCTTCTTTTTAAATATATGCAAAAAAAATAAATATATGCAAAGCACAGAATTCAGTTGTTTAATATGAATTCACAGCAATGTCTTCCCAAAGATGGGGAAGAAGCTTCCCCCATCTGCTACATCATATCCTATAATTAGTTAACCCTACCCTCTCCTTCCAGGTGTTGCTTTTCTAGGTCTGGTAGGAAGGCATCTCAGACTTTCCAAGGGACACAGTGTTGAGTCTACACTGAAATGACTAGATTACAAAATATGCAAGATTCACACGTATCTCACCATGTATTCTAAGGTTTTGATCTTCAGCAACAGGGGTTTGTCTAGAAGGAAATCTAAATAGAATGTGAGAGCATGAGCCTAGTCTGTCTTGACCTTCCTCAATGCTTACTTCCTCGCTGTAAGCAATTCTTCAGCTCTTCTGCCTTAGATCAAAGCAGAACAATATTACCTTTGATGGCGCAGGGCAAAAATTATTAAGTTGCTTAAAGAGTCTGATATTGAATTTAAGAGATGATGTCTTGGAGTCTTGGTTTTCTTCTACCATCTCATTTTTAAAATATTCTTTTCACCCAAGTTACTAGATTTTGTGATAATCTCAAAGTTCTGGCTGGTTGTTAGCACGTACAGGACACTGAGATCAGGAATCATGATTTTTCCACTTGGGGCCAGTGCATTTCACACCACCAGATCGTGGGGCAACATCTTCCTAGGAGTAACAAACAAAACAAAAACAGCCCTCTCCATAAAAATGAAAAAAAAACAAAGAGGGAAGGGAAATTCCTTTTTATTATTTATTGGTTTAATTAGCTCACCACATTAAACAAAGCACAATATAATATTTTGATCAAAGGTATTTTGCATGGGTCTGTTCTACTTTGAAAGGGTAGAGGTGCTTTGAAGGCAAGGTTCTAGTAGGTTCTAGTACAGGTAAAGGGATGGAAGGAACTTTCAGAATCTACATTCTCTCTAGATTTTTTTTTCTTGCCAGTCCTGGGGCTTGCACACAGGTCCTAGGCACTGCCCTTGAGCTTCTTTTGCTCAAGGCTAGCACTCTACCATTTGAGCCACAGCACTACTTCTGGCCTTTTCTGTTTAAATGGTACTGAGGGAATTAGACGCAGGGCTTCATGCATGCTAGGCAAGCACTCTACCACTAAGCCACATTCCCAGCCCCAAGAATCTCTCTCTCTCTTTTTTTTATTACCATTGAACTGAGAAGTTTTTCATTTTATATCCTGTGTCCAATCAAAATGTTTTACTAAGCTTTGAATTTGGAACTCTATTAAGAGAAGCCTACGTTGTATCCTGTAAAAATCTGACCTTTGTTCTGCTAAGAATGAACAATGAAGTTCTTCTTAGGCAGAAGAAATTAAGTCCAGATAACCATGCACAATGGGTTCTAGAACCTGGCATGGCTGTCTCAAACACATCGCCCTGGCACGATACAACGAGAGCAAGACCGTGTGGAGAGGCCTCCTCAGCGTGTTCATTGAAACCAGGAAGGCTGTCAGCGGCTGGATACCCAAGGGAGGGTCCTTCCTGGCAGAGGGCACAGGGATGTGTAGACAGGAGGAAACAATGGTTGCAATATCAGCAGCTTAGTTCATTCAGGATGCCATCACAAAATTCTGTGAAGTAGTTGGCTGAAAATCAGACATTGATTGTTTGTAATTCTGGAGTCTGAAAAGTCTGAGGTGAAGGTGCTCAGTGATTTGATGTTTCCTCGGGACCCATATCCTAATTTGCAGACAACTGTCTTCTTGGTGGGCATTCACATGGACTTACTCTTAGAGGGAGGGAGGGTGAGAGACAGACAGACAGAGACACAGAGAGACAGAGAGAGACAGACAGAGAGATAAAGAATAAGCAAATCCCATTATGAGCACTCCACCTGTAGGCATCTCCTAGACCATATCATTTCCCACAACCCATCCTCCTCAATGCCACTCATTCCAAGGGAGGCTGCAGCCTCACCGTGTGAATTTGGGCAGGATACAGACACATTGGAAGAGCGGATGATGCAGGAGTGCATAGAGTCAGTTGAGGAAGGTTAGAGAGAGCAAGAGTTGCAAGGAAGAGAGGGAAGACTAGCACGAGACTCGCACTTATTGAAAGACTGGACTTTCTGAGAGCCCCAGGGACTGTTTTGGGGGAACCCAATGACAGCAGATAGAATAGATCACCCGGGTAGAGGCTTTTGCAATGTTCCCAAGAGCTAATAAAGCAAGGTAAAGGAGGAAATGGATGCCTTCTCTACATCCAAAGAATGATTTTAGCACTTGCTATTGCCTAGTGGGTGATGATGTTATTTCACCTGTGGGCTCTTTTCTCTTTTCAGTAGAAAGTGAGTGTAATCATAACCTAGAGGCCTAAATGAGATGATAGTAGATAGATAGATAGATAGATAGATAGATAGATAGATAGATAGATAGATATAGATATAAAACCCATGTTTATCACTGGGCCTTAGACACAGGGCAAACCCGTTAATAATGGCTGTATTTACTAGTACTTTTAGTATTTGAAAGAAAGAGTTAACTAAATGTGATAGCAAGGTTAATGTAGGGAAGGAACTGTAGGGATGCAAAGTGTCTCCTACAGGCATCATTAAAATGGCCTTACTGCCGTCCCTTGGGATCATTCTGTACAGAATTACCTCCTTGAAAGCAGTTTTATGACTTTGAGGTTAAGGGGTTGTGTCTGCTTAGCAGGCAGGTCCTGGGTAGCAGAGTGGGGTTGAGTAGCCAGGGCTCCCTGCTCTGCTAGTTTAATGAACCATTGCCACTGCTTTGTAAGAGTCTATACATCTAGCGGGCTCTTGTTTCCTCTTCATTTCTTTGAGTTGGGATAAACTCTCAAAAACCTTCGTGGTGGGGAGCGGTTGATGGCTATAGTTGGTGATGTTATTTCTATGTATTTACTCTGTACATTTTACTATATATTTATATATGTTTACTTTCTATGTATTTTATTATATATTTCTCCATATATACTTTCATATTTCTATACATTTTGCCCTTGTTTACAGATAGCTAATGGAAAGGTAAGTCAGAACCAGATTACATGTGAAAGCCACACACTAGTAAGACACTGAGAGACTTTTGTCTCTAGGACTAGTTATATCTCTGTAACTCACAGCTACCTTTGGATAATTTGTTTTCCTTTTATTTTATTGTAGTGCTTTTGACATAATCATAGGTTCAAAACAAAAGCAAACAAACAAGCAACTAAGACCACATGTACATACACTCACACACAAAAAAGAAAACAAAAAAACAAATTAAAAGAACAAAGAAAAAAATCTAAAAAGGGGAGTAGAGCAACCTTAGGGGAGTGTGAAAAGCCAGTGGTGTTTGCATATTAAAAGTGGGCACTGCAGAAGATTATCCGAGGTGGGGGCCAATTTCCTATAGGTGGAATGAATTTGTGATCAAGACAAATTTCAAATTTGCCATCCATCTATTCTAGGGAAGCAAGCAGAAGAAAACTCTCTAAAATGTTCTTCTACCCTCTTTGGGTGTATTTGTTAAAATTAGCTTTTAGGATGGTTGACCTATTTCTCAAAGCATTTTTGACTAATCTGATTAGCCCTTGGGATCTGGTATGTGTGAAGCTGGGGTTGGAGCAGAGAGGAGGAGGGT